ATGGGTAAATAGAAGGACATACCGTGTTCTACCGCGCGTGTATAGATAGAGGCACGGTGGAGTAATGGATAGAGGCTCGGATTGAGGAATCAGAAAGGCGAGTTGACATTCCAGTCGAATCCATTTCATTCACTTAGGTCAGAAGGGGCGAGTTTTGAATTCCTATTACCCTTGGGAAAAGGGATGGATCCTCTTCTTCCTCCCCAGATATGGGTAAATAGAAGGACATGCCGTGTTCTACCGCGCGTGTATAGATAGAGGCACGGTGGAGTAATGATAGAGGCTCGGATTGAGGAATCAGAAAGGCGAGTTGGAATTCAGTCGAATCCATTACATTCACTTAGGTGCTAATACCCTTCTCCCCCAAAGGTATGAATCCTTTTCTTCCGCCACCAGATATGTATAAATAGAAGGACATACCGTGTTCTACCTTTCTTCTCTCCCCCAGCGCGTGTATAGATAGAGGCACGGTGGAGTAATGGATAGAGGCTCGGATTGAGGAATCAGAAAGGCGAGTTGGAATTCCAGTCGAATCCATTACATTCACTTAGGTGCTAATACCCTTGGGAAAGGTATGAATCCTTTTCTTCTCCGCCACCAGATATGTATAAATAGAAGGACATACCGTGTTCTACCGCGCGTATAGATAGAGGCACGGTGGAGTAATGGATAGAGGCTCGGATTGAGGAATCAGAAAGGCGAGTTTGAATTCCAGTCAATCCATTACATTCACTTAGGTGCTAATACCCTTGGGAAAGGTATGAATCCTTTTCTTCTCCCCCAGATATGTATAAATAGAAGGACATACCGTGTTCTACCGCGCGTGTATAGATAGAGGCACGGTGGAGTAATGGATAGAGGCTCGGATTGAGGAATCAGAAAGGCGAGTTGACATTCCAGTCGAATCCATTACATTCACTTAGGTGCTAATACCCTTGGGAAAGGTATGAATCTTTTCTTCTCTCCCCAGATATGTATAAATAGAAGGACATACCGTGTTCTACCGCGTGTATAGATAGAGGCACGGTGGAGTAATGGATAGAGGCTCGGATTGAGGAATCAGAAAGGCGAGTTGACATTCCAGTCGAATCCATTACATTCACTTAGGTGCTAATACCCTTGGGAAAGGTATGAATCTTTTCTTCTCTCCCCAGATATGTATAAATAGAAGGACATACCGTGTTCTACCGCGCGTGTATAGATAGAGGCACGGTGGAGTAATGGATAGAGGCTCGGATTGAGGAATCAGAAAGGCGAGTTGACATTCCAGTCGAATCCATTACATTCACTTAGGTGCTAATACCCTTGGGAAAGGTATGAATCCTTTTCTTCTCTCCTCAGATATGTATAAATAGAAGGACATACCGTGTTCTACCGCGCGTGTATAGATAGAGGCACGGTGGAGTAATGGATAGAGGCTCGATTGAGGAATCAGAAAGGCGAGTTGACATTCCAGTCGAATCCATTACATTCACTTAGGTGCTAATACCCTTGGGAAAGGTATGAATCCTTTTCTTCTCTCCCCAGATATGTATAAATAGAAGGACATACCGTGTTCTACCGCGCGTGTATAGATAGAGGCACGGTGGAGTAATGGATAGAGGCTCGATTGAGGAATCAGAAAGGCGAGTTGACATTCCAGTCGAATCCATTACATTCACTTAGGTGCTAATACCCTTGGGAAAGGTATGAATCCTTTTCTTCTCTCCCCAGATATGTATAAATAGAAGGACATACCGTGTTCTACCGCGCGTGTATAGATAGAGGCACGGTGGAGTAATGGATAGAGGCTCGGATTGAGGAATCAGAAAGGCGAGTTGACATTCCAGTCGAATCCATTACATTCACTTAGGTGCTAATACCCTTGGGAAAGGTATGAATCCTTCTTCTCTCCCCCAGATATGGGTAAATAGAAGGACATACCGTGTTCTACCGCGCGTGTATAGATAGAGGCACGGTGGAGTAATGGATAGAGGCACGGATTGAGGAATCAGAAAGGCGAGTTGACATTCCAGTCGAATCCATTACATTCCCTTAGGTGCTAATACCCTTGGGAAAGGTATGAATCCTCTTCTTCTCTCCCCAGATATGGGTAAATAGAAGGACATACCGTGTTCTACCGCGCGTGTATAGATAGAGGCACGGTGGAGTAATGGATAGAGGCTCGGATTGAGGAATCAGAAAGGCGAGTTGACATTCCAGTCGAATCCATTACATTCACTTAGGTGCTAATACCCTTGGGAAAGGTATGAATCCTCTTCTTCTCTCCCCAGATATGGGTAAATAGAAGGACATACCGAGTTCTACCGCGCGTGTATAGATAGAGGCACGGTGGAGTAATGGATAGAGGCACGGATTGAGGAATCAGAAAGGCGAGTTGACATTCCAGTCGAATCCATTACATTCACTTAGGTGCTAATACCCTTGGGAAAGGTATGAATCCTCTTCTTCTCTCCCCAGATATGGGTAAATAGAAGGACATACCGTGTTCTACCGCGCGTGTATAGATAGAGGCACGGTGGAGTAATGGATAGAGGCTCGGATTGAGGAATCAGAAAGGCGAGTTGACATTCCAGTCGAATCCATTACATTCACTTAGGTGCTAATACCCTTGGGAAAGGTATGAATCTTTTCTTCTCTCCCCAGATATGGCTAAATAGAAGGACATACCGTGTTCTACCGCGCGTGTATAGATAGAGGCACGGTGGAGTAATGGATAGAGGCTCGGATTGAGGAATCAGAAAGGCGAGTTGACATTCCAGTCGAATCCATTACATTCACTTAGGTGCTAATACCCTTGGGAAAGGTATGAATCCTTTTCTTCTCTCCCCAGATATGTATAAATAGAAGGACATACCGTGTTCTACCGCGCGTATAGATAGAGGCACGGTGGAGTAATGGATAGAGGCTCGGATTGAGGAATCAGAAAGGCGAGTTGACATTCCAGTCGAATCCATTACATTCACTTAGGTGCTAATACCCTTGGGAAAGGTATGAATCCTTTTCTTCTCCCCCAGATATGTATAAATAGAAGGACACATTCCGTGTTCTACCGCGCGTGTATAGATAGAGGCACGGTGGAGTAATGGATAGAGGCTCGGATTGAGGAATCAGAAAGGCGAGTTGACATTCCAGTCGAATCCATTACATTCACTTAGGTGCTAATACCCTTGGGAAAGGTATGAATCCTTTCTTCTCCCCAGATATGTATAAATAGAAGGACATACCGTGTTCTACCGCGCGTGTATAGATAGAGGCACGGTGGAGTAATGGATAGAGGCTCGGATTGAGGAATCAGAAAGGCGAGTTGACATTCCAGTCGAATCCATTACATTCACTTAGGTGCTAATACCCTTGGGAAAGGTATGAATCCTTTTCTTCTCTCCCCAGATATGTATAAATAGAAGGACATACCGTGTTCTACCGCGCGTGTATAGATAGAGGCACGGTGGAGTAATGGATAGAGGCTCGGATTGAGGAATCAGAAAGGCGAGTTGACATTCCAGTCGAATCCATTACATTCACTTAGGTGCTAATACCCTTGGGAAAGGTATGAATCTTTTTCTCTCCCCCAGATATGTATAAATAGAAGGGACATACCGTGTTCTACCGCGCGTGTATAGATAGAGGCACGGTGGAGTAATGGATAGAGGCTCGGATTGAGGAATCAGAAAGGCGAGTTGACATTCCAGTCGAATCCATTACATTCACTTAGGTGCTAATACCCTTGGGAAAGGTATGAATCCTTTTCTTCTCTCCCCAGATATGTATAAATAGAAGGACATACCGTGTTCTACCGCGCGTATAGATAGAGGCACGGTGGAGTAATGGATAGAGGCTCGGATTGAGGAATCAGAAAGGCGAGTTGACATTCCAGTCGAATCCATTACATTCACTTAGGTGCTAATACCCTTGGGAAAGGTATGAATCCTTTTCTTCTCTCCCCAGATATGTATAAATGAAGGACATACCGTGTTCTACCGCGCGTGTATAGATAGAGGCACGGTGGAGTAATGGATAGAGGCTCGGATTGAGGAATCAGAAAGGCGAGTTGACATTCCAGTCGAATCCATTACATTCACTTAGGTGCTATTACCCTTTGGAAAAGGTATGAATCCTCTTCTTCTCCCCCAGATATGGGTAAATAGAAGGACATGCCGTGTTCTACCGCGCGTGTATAGATAGAGGCACGGTGGAGTAATGGATAGAGGCTCGGATTGAGGAATCTGAAAGACGAGTTGTAATTCCAGTCGAATCCATTACATTCACTTAGGTGCTATTACCCTTGGGAAAGGTATGAATCCTCTTCTTCTCTCCCCAGATATGGATAAATAGAAAGACAACCGTGTTCTATAGCCTTCGATGGCAACTGGTCTAAGAAATGGCAACCTACTGCGGGAAAAATCTGCCTCGTCATGCATGGCTCATTACTGACTGAGGCGTGTTATATTTTAAACAACAATACTCTTATTCCAGTTTGAATTGATGATGCTCTTAATTTTTTTTTTTTTGTAAAAGTAAATCCAATTATGATATTATGAGGTCGAATACGTTTTTATACCAAAGAAAATGATTTGATTAAAAAGGTGATTAACGAGACTCATCTATCCCACATTTAAAATCAGAGTGATCCTTCTCCTAGGCACACTGCCAATCAAGGCTAACGCACTCTGTTCGGGTGGTGTAATGGATAATGGTTCATCGGAGAGTTGAATTCCAGTACGGAAGCCGAAGATAAGCAACCTCGAGCCTGGTCAGTACCTAGATGGGTAACTGCTTAGGAATACTTCATTCTGTAAGCTTGGATGTGCGGGTAGTGTAATGGATAATGGCTCGGAATTGTTCATCGGACAGTCGAGTTCCCGTACGAAAATTGAAGTTAAGCAACGTCGAGTCTGGTCAGTACCGAGATGGGTAACAGTTTGGGAATACCAGGTACTGTAAGCTTGGATGTGCGGGTGGTGTAATGAATAATGGCTACGAATTTTTAATCGGAGAGTCGAGATCCCATACGATCACCGAAGTTAAGCAACGTCGAGCCTGGTCAGTACCTAGTTGGGTAACCGCTTAGGAATACTTCGTTCTCTAAGTTTGGATGTGCGGGTGGTGTGATGAATAATGGCACGAAATTTTTCATCGGAAAGTCGAGTTCCCATACGATCACCGAAGTTAAGCAACGTCGAGCCTGCTCACTACCTAGAAGGGCAGCCGCTTTGGAATACCAGGTGTTGTAGGCTTGGATATATGGGTGATGTGATGGAAATTGTTAATCAGATCTATTTTCAGTTCCTGTTGGGTTCGTTTTATTCAAATTTGCGCGAATACCATTGGGGAGGTATGAATATCTTCAAAAACCATCAGATCTGGGTTTATTAGTAACACTTGTATCACGAAATCATTATTATCTCAAAAAAAAAAAAAAATTCTTACAATCTAAAAATATTTTTTGGTTTTAATATCCGGCAAAAAAAGGGTAAAAAATAATCAATCAATTAATATTTATAGATTTATAAAGTTTCAAGATTAATTATAGGTTTCGGAAAAAATCTACTCGTATAAGTTTATATCTGGTATTAATTATAGTTTTCTAAAAATCTATTATTATACGTTCGTGAATGATATCGGTTTGTAAAAAATTCATTATTATATGTTTATATTCAATATTTATAAAGAGTTTCTAATAAATTCATTATTATAAGCTCATAGCTGGTATTAATTATAAGCTTCTAAAATATTCAGTATTATAAGTTTATATCTCGTATTAATTATGTGTTCTCTAAAAAATTATCATATGTTTATGGTATGAATTATAGCTTTCTGAAAATCCATTACCATAAATTTATATCAGGTATTAATTATGGATTTCTAAAAAATTCCATTAGTTTATGTTTATATGTGGTATTAATTACAGGCTTGTAAAATATTTATTATAATAGTTTTATCTTTGGTATTAATTATGGATTTCTAAAAAATACGGCATTAATTTTTGCCTTCTTTCTTTTGCGCATAAATTTTTACTGTCCCATTTTCAAGACAGTGAGAATTAATGGTTAACACTTTGACCTATGTCCACCGCTTTACCGCGGTAGAGAAATATGACGTAATGCATAGACACCAGTTAAACAGTGGTAGAGAAAAATGACGTAATCCTTAGGCACCGGTTAAACAGTGGTAGAGAAAAAAATGACTTAATGCCCAGCCAACGGTTGAACGGTGGGTAAACACTTGCAACTATTTTTGTATTTACCGTGAAAAATTACATAACAAATATTTGCGTATTTTGACTCAGGTGCTCAGGCAGGAGGGTTAAAATTATTTCGGAACACATGTCTCAAAGCGTTACAGATGGGGCGAAGCAACATTCCCATCGAAGATTTTGACATGACAAAATTACATAAATAATATATCAAAAAGAAAAAGAAACAGGAATCATTTTTTTTCTGTATTTACGAAAAATTCCAAACATCAATTTCGAACTGTTCAACAAAATGTTTTCAAACAAAACCTCCCAAAACGCCGAAGGTGAAAAAAAATAAATTAAAAACTTAAATTAAATAAGTCCTGATAAATAATAATAAAGAGTAAATATTAAAAAAAAAAATCCTAAAAAAATGCCGAACAGTTTATTAAATATAAAAGATTTTTTATTTTTTGACATTATCGAAAAATAATTTTTGCGTATTTACTCCGTTAATATCTCCATCTTTCACGCCACTTCATGACTCCATCCTCCTAGAATATATTCGTTTTAGCCTTCTCTTCAGAGAACTTCTCTTAATGTCTTTTACAATCTTACGGCAAATTCTGTTAGACTCAATTAAATAATAACCGCGAAGCACAGAAACCTGCTAAAAAAATGATATTAGATATTACGACTCAAAATATAATAATTTGTAATGGACAAATTCCGACAATTATTTTAATGTTATACGTTATTTATATAGACACAAATATTTAAGTAAACGCTCTGTTTATAATAAACACCATTAACAACATTTACCGGCCCGAACGTCTAAGAAATTTTCATAGACAATGTGTCTTCCGACAGGCATCGAACCTGTATCCACCACGGAAGCGTCATATAACCTGACGTGCTATAACAGTTTAGCTACAGAGAAGCGTTTGGTTAGCAACGTCGATTTTACTGCTTTCAAACTACAATTTTCCATGATTTTCCTCGAACGTCCATATCTGCTCGAAGCGCATCTAAACGTAAAATGACGTCACACAGTATGAAATGGACAAAGTCCGAAAATTATTTTAATATATTGTATTGTTATACGTTATTTATATAGATACAAATATTTAAGTAAATGCTCTATTTTTTTTATAATAAACAGTATTAAAAACATTTACCAGCCTCTTTATAATAGTCGCCTTTAGGTTGGAACAAGAGAAAAAAAAGCAGTAAGCAAAGAATGAGGAATTTGAGGAAAAGGCCATACTGAGTCTCATTTTAAATACTGTTTTTTTTTTTCTTTTTCGTTTTTTTTATAAAGACAACATTTACTTAAATATTTGTATCTATAAACATAAAGTATATTAAAATAATCTGTGTCTATTCACAAAATAAATATACGACCAGACGCAAACAAATGTAAAAAAGGAAGTGACGTTTCACATACAACTTACCTACAAAGAGGATTTTTCATAACCATTTTTGATTCTCACCTGTCGAAGTGCAGTTGAAATGCATTAAAACGAAGTTGCATCTTTGTAGTGAGTAAAATGGTTTTGTCTATATGACAAAATTATAATAAAGGAATAATTATCGCTCTACTATCGGTATTGAGCCCTCTTTTGGATTAATGCTGTGAACGTTGGAATTTATATATTACTTTCGTTCTCATCGCATCGGATATATATATATATCGATGCATATGAAAAAATGTATTTTTTTTAACAAAATCACTTTGTAAATCAATTTAATTAATAGTTTTACTTGTATTATTCTGGTTTGTTTTGTTTTATGGCATATCAACCTGAAAGTTTTATTTAATGCCAACAAGATATATTTTTTTAATATTTATAATAATACATATGAATAAAAATGTATTCTTTGTAACAAATTCACTTTGTAAATCAAGTTCCCTTAACACTTCTGCAAAGAGGGCGTCTGACATTATTCTGGCTTGGTATCTTGTTTTATAGCATATCAATCTCAAACGGTTATTTAATGCTAACAATTATATATATATATATATATATATATATGTATATGTATATGTGTGTGTGTGTGTGTGTGTGTGTGTGTGTGTGTATGTATGTATATAAATAAGTAAGTATTCATTGTAACAAAATCACTATGTAAATCAAGTTTCCTTAACACTTTTGCAAAGAGGTCTTCTGTCGAGAGACAATTACATTGCTGGTATAATTCTGACTCAGTTTGTTTTGTTTTATAGGATATAAACCTCAAAGGGTTATTTAATGCCAACAATTATATATATATATATATATATATATATATATATATATATGGATAAAAATATATTCTTTGTAACAAAATAACTTTGTAAATCAAGTCTCATTAACACTTTTGCAAAGAGGGCTTCTGTCGAGTGACAATTATATTGCTGCTCTTATTCTTTCCTTCAATAAAGAATTGTGGGTAATATTTATTATCTATATATCCGGTTTCTTAGTTTTATGTCTGCAAATGGGATTTTTTTCTCAAGAGTCTGACTTCGGAGATGGTTTTTTTTAAATTTTTTATTATAAAAACTTTGTTTTAGCGTTATTCTCCCCTGTTTTATATTTTCTTGTAGAGGCCGACGGCCACTTTTAGAAACGATAATATATCATCCACATTTACCTTCTTAAATACGCCATCAGTATTGTAAAATTGCTGTCTTGGCGTAGCTAGTTCTGGATATTCTGTCAAAATATATTTAATGGATACTTTACGGTTGAACTTCCTTAGAATGGGTTCATTCTCTTATAGCCGATGCGCAGGCGGGCAGTTAAGACATCCTCTTGTCGAAAATCCTGAAAGATGTATTATTCCCAGCTTGGGCAAGATTGCATAGAGTTTATTATGTGGTTAATCGTCCCAGTACTCTTGCCATTTTTTAAAAATATATTTTTTTTTATCTCCTCCTAAAAATCTGTATATGAGACCTTGATCGATGTATCCACATTCATATCCAAAGCTTATTTGGCTGCCACGTTTCTTTCCAGTTACCTTTTATTTCAATATGGCTAGGCATTCATCATAATACAGGGTGTCCATAAAGTTCGTGTGCACTTTACAAAATTTATAACTTTATTTGTATTTGCGATAGAAATAATTTGTAAAAAGGATTAAAAAGAAGTAAATCTATATTTTGTAAGGTTCTATTGAAATTTTATTTAAGTTTCCACATGTCCTCCATCATTAGCAATACAAAGGGTAATACGATTTTGCAGTTCACGGAAAACATTTGCCAACTGATTTACAGTAATGCCTGAAATCTCATTAGTTATTTTAGCTATACTTAAAACTAGGTACATTAAACTTTATAACATTTTTTAAGGATTATTTCTGTCGTAAATACAAATAAAGTTATAAATTTTTTGCGCATCTTTGGACACTCCTCCCCCTGTTTCTGTTTTAATTGCGGTCCATGGTGACAGTGAAGCTAAAATAAAGCATTGTCTTGCCGGGTCTTTTTTGCAAACTCCTTCCACTGGTAAAGCCGTTGCATCTGAGGCGCAACTCCTTCCAGATTCATTTTTTATGCTGCTTCTTTTTTTTTTTTATAATAATCATTATTATTAATTATCAGTACTCTTCGAAATTAACAATAATAGTTAAGGTTAATTTCGTAAAGTTTTTACAGAAGACATATCTTTAACCTTGTTGTTGGATTGACTCATTTTCCTAACCAATCTTTAATTGAAGTGAAATCATTCTTCTAAGAATTCCTGGCAAAAGAAGCATTGAGATGAATTCTCTTCTTGGCAAGCTTCCACCCTTAATAGAATGGAGATGAACATGACCAAGTCAAAGCCAAAGACGCACTTGATGAATCTTTTCCGTTAATGTCGTCCTTCTCTGTTCGTCTCTCTTATACAGACAATGAGGAAGAGGTTGGGCGTTGCGACTTAGACAATACTATTGACGAGCATTTAAATTTCTAAACTGAAATGGAGCGGGTAAACTGTATACCGTGCTAATCGAAAATCAATGTAGCATTTCAATAATTATCGATTTTTATTAAGCTTGATTTAGTCTGGCACACTGAGATCAGTGT